CCTCCAATGCAGCCTCCCTTCCAAGCACTTGGTATTTGGGTTACCATAGCTGGTAGAGTCCTCAGAGCAGGGCAGCAAGGAGCAGTTCAGCCTCCAGGGTGGGCCACCCTAACTGAGGCTAGCTACTTTGGCTGGTGGACCTGGTAGATCCCCTAGACGGGGGATTGGGTAGTAGGTTCCCAAGTTCATTTTCCAGCAACTGTACCTAGGTGCATCTACAAGTGCAATTAATTTAACTGAATATACTCCAACTCAATTTGAGCCAGAGTAAACTAATCCTGATGTCACTCTACACGTGCATTTAAATGCAGTAACTTACTGCACCACCAGGCCTATCCAGCAGTGCAGTAAAATTAGTCTACTGCACCCTAATTGCTGTGCCTGTGTAGGCAGTGATGTTTTACTGTGCAGCAAGTCTCATCTTACTTAGCATCTCATGTAGATGCACCCAAAAGTTCTCTTTAAGGTTGTATTTGCTCCTTTTTTCTCCTCTTTTAATAAACTCTGCTTTAATGTAATATTTCCTTCCAAGTGGGGAAGTCTGTTCAACTTAGAAGACTCAGGTAATATTTGCTTCTGGGCTCAAGCTAAAAAGTTGGTGTTTAACCCCTCAATCTGAACACGGCCCTTGTTACTGCCATCCAGTGCTTGGCAGAATGGTTACGTATACACCATTTATCTCATCAGAGACATGAGGTCAAAGTTTTACAGATAAACAGAACTCCTTCTAGTGGAGTCTTTCATCGTAGGCAATCTTTCAAAATTAGTTTGGTAAATTCATGCCCATATTAATTCTACATTTGGAGTGTGGTTGGGTCAGAAGTCCACAAAAGGTAAGTGATAAATGATTAGTAGGCCTATCAATCCCCAAGGCAAACAGATTTTACTGGTTAACAAAAACCACACATGGTACCCTGACAAGACTAGACTTTTCTGGTTACTTTTGAAACCTTGGTCAAATTTTGACTCGGGCCTTGCCTTCAAAATAGAACAGTACTTAGATTTAGCCAACTATTTACAAAAACATTTACATTACTGACAGAGTTAAAAGTTGCATTGTAAAAAACTACATAGCCCTGTAGGGAAGGAAGGGAAGAAACCGCTACTCATTTAAATCAATGCAATTCTGGATGAGCCAGCTTACACAGGGCTGTTTAAGTGATGAACCACAGCTGTCTATTTGCCCCCACTTTTTCTCTTGGAAAAGAAGTAGTACTGCTTAGAAACAGCTTTTACAGAGTATCCCCAAATCCTAGGACTATTTGTTCCAACATGTAGCCAGTGTTCATCTTAAATTTGCGGGATCATGTTAATTGCAATATTCAAAAGAATACAAGAAAAGTCATTCATTCATTTGTAGTTTAAGTAACATTTGTATTGGTATTGGAAAGCAATTTCAGTCATGGAAAAAAGTAAGTGTATGAAGGAAAAATACAATTGCCATCAAGAGTTCTATTCCTAACCCTACAACAAGTGGCCACTGGGGGGGGGGGTAAGGAAAGGGGGTGAAGGGTAGGTTTTGCTGCGTTTGGTTTTTTTATTTTTTCAAAAACAACATTTCACAGTACCTCACTTTGTAGAATTGTGACCTATTGAAAAATCCAACAGAAAAATGACCCTCCTCTCCCAACAAAACAGTGGAGGTGCCTGTACAGGTGCTGGGAGGTGGCTCTGATGTGTTGTAATTACCATGCATCAGAACAGACTAGGAGCCGGCTGGAGCATGTTAATTAGCATGCTCTAGCCAGCCCCATCTCATGCATCAGTGTCCCTGTGCTCCAAAATGGCAGTGGGGGCACTTTAACTAAACCTTGTCTGATGAGCTTCAGTTAAAAAAAAAAACCCTGCTACTATTTTGAAGTGGGGGAAGGCCAATATACAAGCTGCTATGAGTGGCTTTTGGAGCTGCTCTAGTCAAAGTGTCCCCCTCATCCCCAGAGCACACGTAAAGACAACCTGGAATACCAGACAGAGAACAAGCAATGGTGGGACCTTCACTATGTCAGGAAAAGGAAAAAGTTACTTGCAGGGGTCATCTTGAAAACCTATTTACTTAGGAAGACTTCTGGAGCTGTTCTCATTTTAGTAGTTAACTCTCATTACAGGAATGTTATTTTGCAAGTTTAAAAAGATGCATTTTTAGAGTTCTGGGCTTCTTTGAAAACAATGAGCCAGTTTTAACGATGATACACAAATAATCCTTTCAAGACATTTGAAGATTTCCCAAGTAATTCACAACCAAACTAACCTACACCCCATTTTCTCCAAGGTCTGACTTATCTTATCCCAGTTCTTCCCAGACTAGATTAGAATTTTTCTATCTTTATGGACATTCAGTGACAAACTAAATAAACATGAGAAATTGTAAAAACAAAAAGTGTACCCTTCCCTCCCCCCATTTGTTGTAGCTAATATTCATGACAACTGGAGTAGTAGGTACATATTTTTAACATTTTTGTGGCAAAGACTACACTTCCTACACTGCAATAGATCAGTAAAAGTTCTGTTGGCTTTCAGACAGAAAGGCTGAAGGACCAAATTATGAAAGCAATCTTTAAAAGTTTTCCTATACAGGGGAAGAAGTACACATGTCCTGGACAGACCATTCATCAAGCAGACAGTGGATCAGCTACCTAAACCAAATCTCACAGCATTCCAGCATCATAACAAGGATGCTTCAGGCAGACTGTCCCTTGTGAAGCTCTACTGAATGAGTAAGCATTAATCTGCATGACGGCATCTCAAGGATCATTGGTTCTCAACCTGTTTAAACTCAAGGCACCCTTCACTAGATGCAAGTCATTCCTCAAAAAAAAGTCACCTCCTAGACTTCACTTGTTTTTTGGCTGCAGAAAACTATTAAAGCAGTTGTTCTGCTGCAAAGAATACAGAAAACCCACAACTGGCTTTAGGTCTCAGAACTGACCCGGTCAGCATACCGGATAGCCCCATGCACTGCTTGTGGCGCTTGCTCCAGCTCGTATCCCAAAGCAGCTGACTAGGCACTGTGTGCAGCACATATCCAGAGCAGCTACTCTGGGGCTGTGCTGCATGCGGTGGCAGCTCCAGGGTGCATCCCACAGCAGCCGCCACATGCAGCACAGACTGAGTGGCTGAAGCAGGACTGTACCACACTGCACCCACTCCAGGACACAGGCTAGATCCAGAATGCAAGGTTAGTCTGTAGGTCTGATCTAGCCTGTAGACCAGATCTGTGCCATTCATCTGGTCCACAGGGCCCAGAACGGGTTTGACACCCATTTTAGAGAATTTGAAGATGAAAAAAAAATTCACATATTTTGGGTGCTTTCTGTTACCTACCAGTTACACTCTAGCCCTTTTATGCCCTGTCCTGTCCCAGCTGGATCTACTGTCAGATGCTTAAATTTGCACAACTTTGAGATATGGGAATGTGGT